TGTTAAAGAAATTAACCAAACCTCAGGATTAAGCCATTTGACCTAACAGTTAGTGAACAACATTAACAAAGAAAGAAACGTCACCGTGTAATAATACTCTCACAACACAATGTCATGAATCCGCATTCTAACACATTATGTCCATTAATGTTTACTGTTGGCCGACAACGACGCCTGCTTAGCTCTGCTGACAACCAATGTAGGGAGGGATTTAATTCTTTTACTTATATATGTAATGTCTATATTTGGCCTCAAGAGGGAGACAGTCCACATCTGAAATCCCATAAGGCAGACTGGGGCAGTATACTTCCTACATATTGACTTCCATATTAATGCTGAACTGTACACATATGGGTTCAAGCTTAAAAAAATAAATGAAAACAATAACAGTTGTATATTTAATTTAAAGAACAAATTCGGTAATATCTGTCCAAATTACAAACATTACAAACTAATTACAAATGAAAAATGAAATACATTTTTGATTTATTCTGCTTTAGTGTCATCCCTCCTGGCCAGACCAGTTGTAGACCTTCTTTTCTTTATACCTTCTGTTAAAATTCTTCAGATTTTACAGCAAGTCTTTCTTATTCAACATAATTGGTGAGTGAGTGAGTTGGCACTGGGTCAACTGTGTACTCTAAAAGCCATTTTATTGGTTTACTGTCTTCCTAATTGACCTGTTCTTACAGTGAGCTTTGTGTAAATGCATCAGGACAAACTCTAATTTGCAGTAGGAGCCAAAGTCTGAACACAGAGGAGGAAGAGCAAGAGGAGGAGGGGTCTACACCCTATCAGGAAAAACGTCTACTGAGCCTGTTAGTACTGTTAGTGCTACCTGGTGGTACTGATGGAAAACCACTAAAGACTGATGTGTTTACCAAAAGGATCAGCCACAGTATGGCTAAACAGATCCTGAAGGGTTAACTTAGTCCAGCCAACAAAGAGGGGAGAGGAGAGGAGAGGAGAGGAGAGGAGAGGAGAGGATCCAGCAGCAGACTGTATAATAAAGAAGATTAGATCATTAGAGCGTCAGTGAAGTGTGTCAGGACTACTTCCTGCCTCGTCCATCTTTGCAGGAATAACTATAAAAATTATAGGGCTGTGGTTAGTTATTGATTGATAAAAATATTCTTTATTAAACTTTTAAAACTTTTTCTTTATTTGAAACCTATAGTCATAGTTGAGAATTGTGTGATACAGTTATTATTAATATGCTACTTAGTCAGGTGAGTGCACAGTCAGAGCAGTGTGTAGTTGTGTCTTTATTCACAACAGAGTATTAGTAAACTGTATTTGATACAAGTTAAACACATGACAGCTAGAGTTACTAGAATACTGGGCCAGTGGTGGCTTGGTGGTTAAAGACATGGGTCCAGAAGGTTTCAGATTTGAGTCCACCAGCTGCCAAGTTACCACTGAGGTGCTCTGAGTATGGCACCGTCCCCACACACTGCTCCCCGGGTGCTTAAAGCTGCCCCCTGTTCACTTTAGCGATGGGTCAAAAGCAGAGGTCATATTTGGTTATGTGTGTGTGTCGTTCACTTTTCTTCTTAATTGAAAACTGGGGCTACAGCCAGAGGATACCAAGTGAAACAGCACTTAGTAGTGAAACAGACATTGAGGACCTGATGGATCACTGACCGGTGTCCTGTCTGATGTACTGTTACGCTTCCTGCATTTCAATAGCAGAGTTTGATCCAACTCATGCCTCATATAATGAGCTAATGTAATGAAATATGTCAGACATGTCCAACTTCCTGCCCCAGGCCGACCACAGCTCTTGGCCGGGTTTGATGTGGCCAACAAGTTATTACCCTAAATAGTTTTTAATGGGCTGGCATCAGAGGAGGGAATTTTACTGGTAGCTAAAACAGCTTCTGTTTTGTTTGTATTGTGTGCAGGGCATTTTGGGTCACATCCAGATTAAGGTTCAATACATTGAAAATGTTTATCTGGAAACTGAACCATTTAAAGAAACATTTTAAAGTTTCTGGAAACTGAACCATTTAAAGAAACAAGTCTTTTGTTCTAAACGTGTTCCTAAATGTTTGGCTTACCTTTTCAACTTCTTTCTATAAATTATTGATTCTATTTTAGAGGATACTGAACCCAGTGTTCTACAGTTTATGTTTATGAAGTGGTATCCATATCATTTGTGAAAAATAGAGAATACTAGAAAATAACTCCAGAGGACAACACAACTGTTGTCAGTATAGAGCAACACAACTCCGTAAACTTCCTTATGAACTGGTAATGAACGTGCAAAGAATAGTTTTGCTTGTAAACACAGCCACTGTAATCATTTGATGACATGGTCATTTACTAAAGTAAATTGTCTCCTTTTCCTCTCATTGTCCCAGGAAGTGATTTTCTAAGTCTTTTCTAGTTGACATCTAGATGCATTATGTTATCACCAAGAACCCTGCTAATCTCAGACATGAAACATTACTCAAGTATTCAGCCCAGCTGTGAGGGTGAAGCTACCAGCTGCTGCTGCTGCAGTGGGATTATATAAGTCTGCTATAAACCAGAGATTACACCCATCGTCAGATGGTTGGTCACATACACTGACACACACAGTGGATTAATCTGCGGGATTTGCAGATTAAAGCCATCATTCTTGTAACATTTCTTTTGCTGCTTTTATGGCAGAAGAAAAGAGCCAGTCACATGACACTGGCAGCTATAGGATAGATGAGTGTGGCAGGAAACCAAGACACAGTATCCCACAGTGATTGCCTCATTCTGCTGACTGGCCGAAAGAGGGATAAATCCTGGAGATAAATGCACGTTGTTGGCTTTTGGCACAGATTTTTTTTTTTTTTGGTATTGAAAAACGGCTTTCCTGGTGTAGAGGCCAGGAGGATGGAGGTGTTCAGTGATGAAGAGTCCAGTCACACCAACACATTAGGGGAAAATGTGATGTTGTTAAGAGTGATGTAAATAAATGTGTGTGTGTGTGTGCGCTTCACTTTTTTTATTCAGTGGAAGGAGCAGAGCAGGAAACTGCTGTGTAGCATCCTTGCTCTATATATATCTGCTGGAGCACATTGATTACACCGGATCATTATCATTGGCCGTTGATGGGAACATCACTTCAGGGTTTTCAATCATACGCAACAACAGTGCTGGATCAATTCAGAAAATGCAGAGAACAGCCAAAGCCTTCAAATGCCTACTTAGATTTTTGAAAGAGCGTTTCTTTTCCTCCAACGTGGTGTCATTAGTGGCCTGTGCATTATCGACTGACGGGGATGTATAGCAGCCAAGTCTCAGAGGTAATCAGATGACCTCACTTTATGTGAGATGCCTTACAAGTGAAACCCTGGACCAACGTGTGAAGGAACACAGCAATACTGAGAAACAACTCCAATGAGTAAAAACATTGAAATCATTAAAGTTTTTTTTTATTTTAAAATGGCTCATAATGAATCAAAAAAATTAAAAACCCTACTTGAGGAATGATCGATAGCCTGTAAAGTAATCCTTTAGAGTTTTTACGTTTATTTTTCAACAGGCAGTGAGAACGTTTTTGTGGCTTGACATCGCGAAAACACCCTTTGAGTTCCCAAATCTAATTTAGATCAGCCGTTTTGGCTCAGTAGTAAATGTTTTCTGCCAAGCTACGGTATATTGCTTAGTAAGCAATTCAGATATGACTCAGAGTTCTGCATTAGTACTATTTGATGTAAATGATGCAGCTTGCAGTGCAGTGATCATTCAAATTCTAACAGCACCACTGCAGTATAAACTAAACACCTCATCATATAGAGTTATATTATATTTTATATTATAGAGTTATATTTAAAGAGAGCATTTTATTGTAGTATACCAAAGGATTAACCCAGAACAGAAATCAATATCTGTCAAAACAGCTAACAGAACAAAATAAACCCTGATTGATGCCAGACAACATTTTCATTTTTCTACTCCCTGTAAGGATCTACGCACCTTTGCCTTGTGTCCTTCTTCATTATGTTTGATATTTTATAGGATTGTATTCCAGATTTGTACAGTACATTCACTTTTTTTCTTAGCAACATCTCAACTTGCTCCCTTGTCACACTATAGCTTTTTTATTGTGCTCATCAAACTCCGCTTTTTGTTCAACATCAACCTTGACACCTGCAGCTTTTGCTGCGTGTCTTTTAGGACAGTCCCAGTGTAAACAAACAGTACATGATGCTACTGTAGGTGTCGCGACAATTGCATGTTTTGTATTATTGGGTCTGGATGCTCATAATTGAAGTTGTTTGCAGTGCAGACCTCCACCTCTTTGTCTCCGGGTGTACTCTACATGCTCTCAACCTTCACAGCAGGTGCCGTGTCATCTGCAACCATCATGGTCCACTGACACTTATCCCTGACCGTGTCTGTCAACCTGTCAACTGCCAGCGCAACCAAGAGGGGGCTCAGGGTTTGTTCTTGATGCAACCCCACCCTAACTCTAACCCCATATGTCAGTCTGACTGCACACTTGTTTTTATACAATGCTGATTTTGTTGCTTGCTGGACACACCAAAGCCAGTCAGGCAGATGGGATTCAAACCTGTGATCCTCCAATAGAGGGACAGGAGAATGATTCTTCTGGCATAACTGCCATGCGGTTATTGCCTTTCCAGTGCTACTGTAACAAACAAATAACTTGTTTGGAATTGTCTCCTGTTTACTTATGGATTTCCTGCAGCTGTATCTCACTATGGGCCACATGTCAGCCAATGTGAGAAAAAGGTGGGGTATAATAATGTGCCCTAAATTATGACAAACACTGTTTAAACTCATATTTACACCTACAGTACCTTTGTCATCCAAATGGACTGCACCTTTTAAGCCTAAAGTTGACAATATATCTTTAATACGACACACTAATTTCTATCTATCTATCTATCTATCTATCTATCTATCTATCTATCTAACCTAGATGTCATTTATTAGAGAATATGGACAGGTAGGTGGCGCTGTTGAGCCGCACACACTTACAGTTATTGTCAGCACCAGACATTACTTCAGTTGTCGGAGATATGAAGTGAATTTGCGAAACTGCCAAGTGTTTTACTTCAGTGCGAACTTAATCTAGTATTAAGTAGAATTTGTGACTCACTATCGCTCCCTCTCTCTCTCTCTCTGGTTCTGTGTATGTCTCCCCCTCACACAAACACACGCACACGCACACGCGTTGTGCCGTGTGTGTCTGTGTCTTGTTGGCAGGGGGAGGTTGATCGTGGCACAGCAGAGATGGTGCGCAGCTCTCTGGGACTCCGTGGCCAGCCGTCCGTCACTTTAACCGGGAAGACGTATCTCTGACATTACCCCCAACCGGGAAGGATTTAGATTTGCTGTATATAAACACATCTTCATCGTTTGCACATTAACGCGATATGAATGCGTCGCGTAATGCGAGCAAGAGGAGCTGCCTTTTTGGGGGAAGCGTTTTTTATGGTCCGGGACGGTTTTGTGTTGGAGTAGCTCGGTGCTAGCGCGGGGCTAGCGACCATATTCTCACCAGGATGCTACGGTGGATCCGCCAACAGCTGGTAAAACACTGCTGCCTTACCTTTCAACTAGCGTTAGCTTTCAGCGTCTATACTTTTATCACACAATTTAAGCAAAAACAATGAATTAAGCGATGTGAACTTTATTTGTTTAAAACTTAAAACACTTAGCCGGTTAGCTGTTTGCCGTGTGAGTAAACAGTGTTTGTACTTTCAGCAGGTACAGGTTAACGTGTTAGCCGCCAGTTAAGCTATCTTTAGCTGACAACAATTAACTCGAATTAGGACTTTAAATTTGAAAACCATTATGTTTTCATTATATCTTTCACTTAAATTTCAATGGGAACATGTCCCCATGTATAAAAACTCTCACAGTCAGTTCACATTACATCCGGAAAAAACTTGATAAACAGTCAAACTGGCCGTTGTTGTAGAGACTCAACGGATTTTTCAGCATTGGAGGCGTTTCTTTAAGACTTAATTCATCATAACCTGTAAACTCATTTTACCGGCTCTAACGGCTTCTCACTCACAGTAGTGAGTAATTCGACATAGCAGAGGATTAAATTAAATGTAACGGTAGAGTATGCCAGAATAAAAAACAAAAACAATTATACAAGGTCATTCAACTCAGCAGCCGTCTCTGATTGACATGTGCTGCATAGAGATGGAGAAAGTGTCTTATGAGTTTTAAACGAAGGTTTGCTTCATTTTAATGGCACACCTATTATTCGTTTAATTTGTTCTATTGTTCTATCTACTTTGTGACACCAAAGCTATTCCATATGAGAAAGAAAAGAACAAAGTGAAGGTAAACCCAGCTGAGATAGATTCAAGATTCAAGATCGGGTTTATTTGTCATATGCACTTTCAACACAGGGTCTACAATGCAATGAAATGCTTGGGATGGGGGGACCGTAGACTCGCTGGGGTAACATAGAACACACAGTACTAGCAGCATGCGATACTACTACAGGGAATAAGGTAAGGAATAGAGGGAGAAAGGGGGAATAGAACAGTGCAGGCAGTGCAGGAGTAGTGCGACACAAGATAAGGACATCTAAGTACAACACAGGTAAGAGCATTAACACACGGGGTAGGAACTTGTAGAAACACCGGGGCAAAAACATAACACGGGATTGGAACATACGCACACACAGGGACATAGGTTATTGCACATATTGACGTAGTTATTGCACATGTTGTCGTAGTTAGAAGTTATTGCACAAGAGAAATAGAGCATAGTTGTTATTGCACAGGTGTCATTTCGGAGTTTAGTAACCTAAGCTCAATATTGGCAACACGCTGTATTATATAGAGAAACATGTTTTAACGTTTATTATCTCAAAACACCGATTTTGAGTAGTCCTTAAACAGTAAAAGCCTAACTTTTGTTAGCATCCATCAACATTCACGTCAGCAGCTACATGATGTAGACAATGAGAGTTTAATTTGTTATAAACTTTGTTTATGTGGCAGTGACTGTAATTATGCGAAACAGCTTTGTGCATGCAGTGTTTCCCCTTCAGGACCTACATGACCCTTTATTAAAGAAGACATTTATCCAGCAAATGTATCATTTACCATGATGGGAAAATGTGACATTAAAAGTAAGATATTTTCAAAACCAGCAGAGCTCATCCACTCTACTTCTGGTGCTTAACTGATGGATCACAGTACTGTTTGTCATTACATGAAGTCCTTTAATGACATATCAATAATAAAAAAAAAACAATGTTTGATTTGGCTGAACTTATTCAGGTAGTCAAAGATTAATTGTCTATCTCCACGTCTGTCCCAACCCTGTTCCAGAAATAGAAGGGTCCTTTACAGTCAGTGCTGAACACACTGAATGACCTTAGACTGTCAAATTCAGAAGTATTCATGCATAGGTGTGTATAACATTGTAAAGTCCTGCACCATCAAACATAGTGTTTCCAGATTATCTTATATAATTTTCTTCTTTTTAGACTAAAATTTCATGGGGTTATTTAACATGGCCTTTTCTAAGGTTGTGCATGACAAATTGTGTTAGGGATAATGACTGGGTTGCTCTTGTAACATCAGTGGCTGATGTTACTTTAACCAGTAAGCTTAATCAGTGCAGAGAAGTTTGTGTCCTTGTTGCTGATTGCTTTTCCTTCTTAAGATTGAGTCTGTCACATATTAAAAGTCTTTAACATTTGTTGAGTTTGGCAACGTGCACTGAAACTTTTTGCTCCTAGAGGTTAATTGTAACTTTTTTAAAGACCGTCCCATGATGTTTGGGTTGAGACAATGCAGTCTTTTTGACCTTTTCTAAAAAGGATCCCATCTTGCTAATTAAAATTTAATTAAAATACAACTGGACTTGTGGTCAAGATTGTTTGGGTCATTTGTGTGACCTCAGAATCAGCTGGAATGTAATGAACAGAATAACTGGTTATTCTCCCAGGATTGCATGCAGTTTCCACTCGTGACATTGGTTCACATGATGACGTGGGGTAGTAGTTGCTGCTGTTGCACTACAATAATCATTGTTTCAACTCAGACGATAATTTCTGTCATGTTATAACAAGTTATTCCTGTTGTGTGTGACTTATTGCAGAGCCCCGCTTTGCTAAATGTTAATTTAGATGTCATAATACAAACTAAAACTACACCAGGCATTCTCAAAGACTTGTCAGCTTATGAGTTACAAAACATTTTTATATTGTTTGGCAAATATTTTTGCTAAAACCTTGCTAGATTTTTACTTCTGTTTTATTGAACATCAGTTAAAGAAGATAACTTAGCACTGTTTATTATCTCATTGAAAGGGTGATTTACTCAAAAAATGCAATATAAGGTCATGATAATTATTCAAGTTAAACTTGGTGTGAGTGAATAAAAAAGGACTTCTTAGTGTGGTTACATAGAATAACATTACACATGAGCTTTGGCTTTGGTGAATGATATCAGTATTTTTTTTAACTTTTCCTTTGGTGAATGATATCAGTATTTTTTTTTACTTTTCCTTATCTGTTATCTGTTAACATTTCTGATCTGTTTTGTGTAAACATTCAGTCTTTTGCTGTAACAACAGTCGAATCATCTGGTTACTTATTCTTGACCCCTAAAAGTTCTAAATCACTAGTCTAATACCTTAGGCTTTTCATTTCATGTGATATCAGATATTAGTTGATATTGCCAGTCTTTATATTCATAACATTACTAATCTGTTCATAAAAAAAACAGAGCTCATTCCACTTGACTATAGTTGGTTTATTGCGCCCATACTTTTTCGTTTACTTTTAGATATCTGTGCCAATCAATATCTCCCTCCTTTCTAATCTCATTAGCTTATGTCATTTGATTAAATGGTGTCACATAATAATGACTCGGTGCTATGGGTTTATTATGATGCCTCTGTCTTCCTTGCAGCCATTGTGAGGGAAACAATAAACCCAAACCACTGTGAGCCTTGAGTGCGACATGCATGTAATTAATTGTCAGCTATAAACTGATGGAGCTGAAAAAGTCTAGAAGGAATGG